AAGGGAGATATGGTTGTACCATTTCTCAAACTTATTTGACCACAAAACTTTTATATTTCAGTACATCCATGGTACAATGACACAATTCATGAATGCTGCTCTTTGAGGTATGAGTGCAAAATTGCTGTTTCACTGGATTTAAATCAGTACTAACTTAAGTAAATCATCATAATTTAAAAGTCCCATATTGTTATCTTTAGTGAAAACACACACAGAGTAAAAAATTAAAGACATATAGTTAAAAAGTTAATAGGGGAATTAAAACAGTGTAATAATCATAATTTGTTAAACCTAAAAGACAATGAAAGCAGAAAAGAGGGATAAATAAGAAATAGACATAGAAACAAATAACAAAATGGCAGACCTAAATTCAACTACATCAATAATTACATTAAATGTTAATGGGATAAACATTCTAATCAAAGGCAGAGATTGTCAAAATAGATTTAAAAAGCAAGGGTACAGGGATGCCTGGGTGGCTCAGTTGGTTAAGCGTCTGAATTCAGCTCAGGTCATGATCTCAGGATCCTGGGATCGAGCCCTATGTCAGGCTCCCTGCTCAGTGGGGAGTCTGATGCTCCATCTCCCTCCCCCTTTCCTCCCCCAACTCGTGCACGTGTGCTCTCTCTCTCTCAAATAAATAACCTCTTTAAAAATAATAATAATAATAATAAAAAGCAAGGTATATATGCAGTCTATCAGAGAGGAACTGTAAGGTCAAAGACAAAAAGAGGTTGAAAAAGTTATACCATATAGAGATTAATAAGAGAACTAGAGTGGCTATATTAATATTAGACAAAATAAGGACTATTGGTGAAGGGAAAAGAGGTACATTTTATTAGGATATACATTAAGTCAACACACTAAAAAATTATAAATGTGCTTGTACCTAAAAAAGAGACTAAAAATTCATGAAGTAAAAACTGACAGAACTGAAATAAGAATAAACAGTTCACGGGTGCCTGGTTGGCACAGTTGGTTAAGCGCTGGACTCTTGATATCGGCTCAGGTCATGATCTTAGGGTCGTGGGATTGAGCCCCATGACAGGCTCCATCCTCAGCGTGGAGACTGCTTAAGACTCTCTTTCCCTCTCCCTCTGCCCCTCCCCTGTGCTCATTCATGCTTTCTCTCAAATAAATATTTTTTAAAAAAGAATAAACAGTTAAACAATTATGCTTAGAGATTTAAATATTCCTCTCTGAATAATTTGTAAAACAAGCAGATAGAAAATCAGTAAGAATACAGAAGATGTGAACAATACTATCAACCAGTTTGACCTAAGTGACATATATAATATGCTTTATCTTAAAACAGCATACATTCTTTTTAATTGCACTTGGAATATTCATCAGGCTATACATAAAGCAAGTCTCAGTAAATGTGAAAGGAATAAAATCATAAAAATATGTTCCTTGACTACAACATAATTAGAAATTAATAACAAAAATAAATATGGGAAATATCCAAATATACACAAAGTAAGCATCACAGTTCTACATAACTTATGGGTCAAAGATGAAATCACAAAGGAGACTAGAAAATCTCTTGAACTGAATGAAAATAAAAATAAAATATACCAAAATCTATGGGATGCAGCTCATGCAGTGCTTAGAAAAAAATGTATTGCTTTAAATGCTTATTTATAAAGGGTTAACTGTTTAAAACCAAAGTTTCTAACCAAAGTTTTGATCTTAAGAAGTTAGGAAAAGGAGCAAATCAAATATAAGTAAGTGTTAAGGAATAAATAATAAAGGCCAGCACAGGAATAAATAAGAAACAAATATCATTAGGAAAAAAAATCAAAGAAATCAATAGTTGGTTCATTGAAAAGAGCAACAAAATTGATATGCCACTAGCTAGACAAAGAAAAAAGTTAGAGAAAACACAAATTGCAAAAATCAGAAATGAAAGAAGGGATATCACTACAGACCCTAAGGAAATTAAAAGGAGTATAAGGGAATATTATGAATAACTTTAAGTAAACAAATTTGACAACTTAATTGAAAAAGACAAATTCTTAGGAAGAGACAAATTACCTAAAGTGATTGAAGAAGAAATAGAAAATCTAAATAGACCTATATCAAGCAAAGAAATTGGTTAATAATTTAAATCTCCCCACAAAGAAAAATCCAGGCTCAAAGATGGCTTCATTGGTCAATTCTGTCAGTCACTCAAGATAGGGAAAGAATCTAGACTTTCAAAATATAGATGAGGAGGGAAAGCTTTCAAATTCAAATGTAGACAAAGACAATGTAAAAAAAGAAAATTACAAACCAATATTCCTAATGATAGTTGTCTCAAAATCATTATCAAAATATTGGCAAATTAAATACAGCAATTTATAAATAGGATAATGACCAAATGAGGTTTATCCCAGAAATGTAAATTCAGTATATATAAAGAATACTCACAACTCAATAATAAGAAAACAAAAATAAAAATTTTTAGAAAGGAGGAGAGATTTTAATAGAACCTTTAACAAAGAAGATATTTGAATAGCAAATAAGTACCTGAAAATATGCTCAACATCATTAGTTATCAGGGAGATGCAAATAAAACCACAATGAAATACCACTACACACTCATGAGAATGGCTAAAATAAAAAGAGATGGACAAAAACAAGTGTTGACAAAGATGTGGAGAAACTGGAACTCTTACCCATTGCATGTAGGAGTGTAAAGCGGTATAACTACTTTGGAAAACAGGCACTGTCTTAAAAAATTAACATCTACTTACCATAAGATCCAGGGATTCCATTCCTAGGTATCTACCAAGGATAGTCATAAGGGGCCAGACTCCTTTACAAGATAATTGTTCCAGATTTAAAGTGCCTCTGGGGATCACAAAATGACATTTATGTCATTTATGTATGGTTGGCAGGTAAGGTAAAGAAATTATAGCTAGGTTGGTGTAATAATGGAGCTGTCAGAGACTGATGTTTTCATAAGTGTATAGAAAGGAGGGGAGGGAAGTTGAGTCAAAAAAAAATCTGTGGATAATTGCCAATGCAGGGATAGAATCTTATAGATCATTGGTTATATCCAAGTGATATTCAAAATATTTAGCAACAGATAAGTCAAAAGTGCCCACCTATCAAATAGATACCAACTGTAAGCAGTTGATAAGGCCATATGGCTAAATATCATTAGGTCTGCCATTACCCTGTGGCTTTATATGTGCCTCCCATATGCTTATAATGCTCACATATATAATTTCATCAAAACTTCTCTTACAAGAATCAGAATTGCCTATGAAATGTATCCATATATAAAAATATCATGTATATAAATATATAATCACACACACACTTACCCACAATATCCTTCCAAGCTGTCACCCTGACCCAGTTGTCATCAGATTCCAGCCATACTAAACTTCTCTTGGCTTCTAAATATCCTTTCCCATCTTGGTATACCCCATTTTTTAATTTCATTTTTAATTAAAGAAATATATGTATATATTTCAAATAAAATATTCCAAAAGGGCTTAAAATGTACGAAAAAGTTATTTGCCCCATTCTGACTCTATCTCCAATCCTGCTCCCAAGAATCAGCCATTTTTTAACAATTTTTCTTCTGGTAGCTGCCTCTACTAGATATACCCGTCTCTAAATAATTTTTATATTTCATTTCTTGATTTACAAATTAGATATACTGTACTGATTTCATTCATGTATTACCATTTCTTGGTTTTTAAATTTTAGATGATACTGGTCGACTTCCACGATGAAATATAAGAATTTTTAGCTCTCTTTACTCTTCATTCTTCTCCTACTGGCACTACACATGTATATATTTCTCATCTTCTCATCCTCCAAAAGATTAATGATTTAACTGCTCCAGTGTGGAGCTCTTTACACCTGGCATAATGTCATTGTTGGAGTACCATCTTTGCCATCACCCTGATGCTTCCTTTCAACTTTTTCTTGTATCTCATGTGTCCTGTATTCCAAGTCTTCTTCTTGCTTTACTTCCTTATTTTGAAGGGAGTAAACAGGATAAAATTGCATCTTAGTAAGTTTCTAAGTAACAGCATGTGGGAAATATCTTTTTGAGAACTTCACTGTTAGTGAAATGGATGTAGAATTCTAAATTGGAAGTGAATTGTATTCAAATAAGACATAGTTCTTCTTTTCTGGCTCCAAAGCCATTATGATCTGTATAGATGACTTTTTAAAAAAGATTTATTTATTTATTTGAGATGGGGGTAGGGGGGAATGGCAGAGAGAGAAAGGGAGAGAGAATCCACAAGCAGACTCCCCACTGAGCTCAGAGCCCTACCTAGAGCTGATCCCAGGACCCTGAGATCATGACCTGAGCTGAAACCAACAGTCAGACGCTTGACTAACAGAGCCACCCAGGTGCCCCTGTATAGATGACTTTTTAATTTAAATTTCTGGAAGCTTGATTCTAATATTCTGAAATTTTACAATAATGTGCCTTTGGTTGGGTGGGTTTTTATTCATGCTAGGAACTCTGTGGGCTCTCTCAGTCTAAAAATTTACATCCCTTAATTATGGGATATTTTCATGAATTATCTCTATTATGCTTTCTTTTCCTCCATTTTCTCTATTCTATCTGTGCTTCTTTTATTCCAATGTTGAATTTTCCAAACTGGTTCTATTGGTTCTCTCCTAGTTTTCATTTTGCCTATCTGCTCTTTCTTTTAAGTTTTTCAACTTTATCTTTCAGTTCTACTAAGAAACTTCTACCATTTTAGGGGCCCCTGGGTGGCTCAGTCAGTTAAGTGACTATTTTAGCTCAGGTCATCTTCTAAGGGTGATGGGGTCAAGCCCCATGTTGAACCCCACATTGACCGCCATATGGGGCAGGCATGTGTCTGCTTCTCTCTCTCTCTTTCCCTCACCCTCTGCCCCTCCCCCTGTTGCACATGCACTCTCTCTCTCTGAAATAAATAAATCTTTAAAAAAAAAACTTCTGCCATTTTAAATTCCAAGACTCGTGTGTGTGTGTGTGTGTGTGCACACGCGTGCGCATATACTGTTCTGTTCCTTATTTTTAAAGCATCCTATTGTCTCTTGGATATCTTGAATACAATAGCTTCTGTCATCCCCTGATACTATTAATGATAATCGTCAACCCTCAAATTGCCTTATGTTATTTGTTTTAGTATTTGATCTCATGTTAGATGATTTTCTCAGATTTTTCATAATGCTTGGTTGCCTGTTTAAGAATGGGGGGTGAAAAGGCTGCTTGAAGCACATGCATGGAACTAGTGACCAAGGCTTCACTGTGGAGAGATCAAGCCAAAGATTGATTAGAGATCAGCATCTTAGTCTTTCCTCCAGGGCTGGATGCATTTCCCAGGTAAGATTCTTCCAATTTGCTACTTGGCGGGTAAAGACCTGGGTCTATCCTTCTTGGAAACTTGTAGGGAACATACACTCTATCTCTCTCTCTCTCTCACACACACACACACTTCTATTTTCCATACTGAATCCTGAGCTCAATAGTACTTAGCATCTTTCAATCAAGAAACTCCTCTGCTTTACCCACCCCCAGAGGACACACTAACCAGATAGGCATTCCAGAGTTTCAATAACCTCTTAAATGGCTTTCAACCAATTCTACTTATTTTAGTATTCTTTCCTTCGCCGCCACTAAGGTACCAGCTACTGCTAATTCCTGAGCCTTTTAAGGTTCCTGCAGTGCAGACTGGATTGGCTCTTGATTTCCCATTGCTGCCAGAAGATAAAACTGCTGACTCAGTTATCACATTTACTCTGCAGCATCTGAAATAGTTCAATATGGATTTACAGTTAAACAGACAAACCACGGTCCCTTTATAGTAGTCTTAGTCAGGTTTGGGATGGAGTCAAGTTAGATGTGTTTTTCAACCTGCTACCTTTCTGGGTTCTATTTTTTCTTTTTAACCTCCCCAAATGATTTAAGTCTACCTGTCATAACTGTGATTATTTTGGTGACTCTAGGCAAATTGTTTAAACATCTATAACAGGGGACAAAATGCCTGCACTTCATATCATTTGAATATTGTGAAAAACAGACAAAGAGACGTATGCCCCATCAAGAAGGTACTATATTAACCTAAGGTTTATCTATCTTTTTATAGGAGGATACTATGTTACTATTAGTAGGGGGAGTTGTTTTTCCATCTAAGATGATACACTGGATGATGATCTCTCCTTGTCCCTCATTTACAAGTCAGCTTTTGGGTTAGTTATACCGTGCCCAGATTTATGCTTCCTCATGACAAGTGATCATCAGTTCACTAAATGAAATGTAATAAACTAATGACTTTAGTCTCCTTATGCTCTAACTAAAACAACGACCTCATGCTGTTTGGATATGTGCTGTTCGTGTGTGTGTGTAACTGTGTATGAATTTTTCATATAAGTATTTTGTATCTCCTTCCAGGCATCTGGATTATGATAACAGCAAGTTAGCAGGCCACACCATTCAGAAGAGAAAGGAAATTAATATTCCTGAGAAAAGAGGAAATTAGATACTACTTGAGAGGTGAGGCATTCTGCTCCTAATGAAAAACACCTTTTTATTTAACACCCTATTCTCAGTTTTAAGTGTTTGGTAAATATTAAGCTTTTTTTCCCACACTTTCAAAGGCTTACAGGCCCCCTGCAGTTCCAAAATGCTATAATGTTACTACCATCAACGGAGATTTAGGAAACCTGGATTCTAGTCCTAGCTCTTTTCCAAACAGGATATGTGACCTCAGGCATGATATTCAGGCCTGCTTGGACTCTTCACCTATAAAACAGTAATTCTTATCATTCTTTCACCATTGATTTCCTATTGCTGGCACAGGAGCAAAAGTAAATAAATCAGAAGTAATTTATTCATTCAGACAAATTAATACATTTTAAATACTAATGTAAACATTTTTTGGTCTCAGTGCTACAATGAATTTACTCTGAATACCCATCAACTGCATGGAAATCCTACCTCTAAAAAGTATCAATTTTACCAAGAAATACAAGAAATACTGTAAATGTACTTTTCTTTCATTTCAAATTGTCAAATAATGACTCCCACCTAACCAGTCTATAATTTTTAGATTTAAAATTTTAATTAAAAGACTTTTTCAGTGGGGTGTGTGTGAGGTACAGAATCTTGCTTTCTATTTTTTTTCTATTTCAAGTGATCAAGATCTCATCTGTATGATAAACTGATGATTGTGAAATATTTCATTATTTGTCATATTGGTCAGTCATAAAGTAGCCTTATTGTGCAACAGGATATTTCTACCTCTTGGAGTAACGTTTTAATAAATAAAATTGGCAATTGAAATGGTTTCAAGATAAAAATATGAGAAGGGGGTTTCATATCTTACTCAGAATTACCATAATATATTTATGGGGTAGGATTTATGATCTGCATGCTTTGATCTATTTTGTCTTGGTTCAAATCCTAGCTTTTGTCATTATCTTGCTTTGTGGTCAGCCACCTCGCTTCAAACGTGTTGTGAAGATAAAATGAAATCAACAAAAGTATTCTAAAAAAGAAAAGGAAATTAATATACAAATATTGCTATTGTGGCTAATTAGCTCAATTATTTAAGTGCCTGCTGGGGTTGCGAGGGCTGGGGCCCACGTCTATTTTATTTTATTCCATTAGTTTCTCTCTGATCCCCATCCTGTCTTTTACAAAGGCACAGGCCCAAGGCTATCCATGCATTAGTCCACGTACTTCACCATCACCGGAAATAACCTCCTTATTTTTTTCAGGCCTTACTTTAAGCCAGACCGTATATTGTCATAATGTAAGACTCACATACTCTACTTTTTATGTTCGCCATCAAGCTTTTCTCTAATGAGGCTACATCAAGAACAGAAACCTATATGGAGATTAGGATGCACGAGCAGATTGGAACCACTGCTCTCTAATGGCTTTCTAAACCTACAGGTGGGAACTGCTCATACCCAGCAGTGACCACTGACATAGCGGATGAAGTCAGCCGGCCTCAAAAGCACAGAGCATGTCATGAACTCTCTGTGAGGAGTCATTCCTTAAAAGTCTTTTCGCTAGAAAAGCGTCTGGAAATCAGACAGGTGTTCGGGAAAAGAATGGGGAATCCCTAGTCACAAGCCTCTGTAGTGTTACTACTGTATCTTACACAGGAAACTGACTAGGAGGTGGGGCCGGCTTTAATTCCAGTACTTGGAGTTGCCACACGGTGCCAGAACTGGCCTTGGCTCCGATCGAGTGGGCTTCTACTCGGGGAATGGAAAAACAGTAGTGGTGTTTCTGCGATGTGACAAAACAGGCCAGCTTATAGCCACGCACGTCTGCAACATGCATCCCTCGAACAGTTTTTCCCAATCCCCTCCCTTAATGACAGAGCGCGTGCCCGTGAGGGCCCATTACCATCCTGCAGGATGAGGGTGGGCTGTACCGCCTGCACTCGGAACTGCCTGGCCCTCCAGCCGGGGCTGGGCGCCCGCACCACCTCGCTGTCAGACAGCCAGGTCACGGTCTCAAAGTTGTCCCCGCGAGCCAGTGCCTCGGCCTCGGCATGATGCACGGCCACCCGGTCGAACTGGTAGAGGCCTCCGGAGTGGTCGAAGTGCACGTGGGTGGCCACGGCCAGCAGTGGCCGGCACGCCGCGTCCTCTTTGGCCCCGTGATCCTGCAAGAGACCGGAGGAGTACAGGTACTCTGGGAGGCTGCGCAGCCCCAGGCCGGTATCTATCACCACATCTTGCTCGGAACCGCGCACCAGCCATATGTTGGCGCGGTTGCCCGACTCATAGAAGCGTTCCTGAATCCAGAAGATGCCGTCGCCCAGGGACTTGTGGGCGTACCACTCAAGCGCGGACATGCTGGGCAGAGGTGCGGTCGAGCGGAGTGGGTGTAGGCGTGTGTGCCTCCGGCAGGCAGTCCAGACGCTAGGCGCTGCGGCGGTGTGGAGCGGTCAGCCCGCAGCCAGGGAGGAGGCGCAGAGCGAGGAGAGGGCGGGGGATCCGGGAGACGCGAGGGCGGGGGGTGAGAACTAGGAGGAAGGACGCGCCGAGACGCGGCCTGGAGAGTCTGTCCGCACCCTCCAGCCAGGTCCGCAAAGCGCAGAGGTTGCTCTACCCGCACCTATGCGCTGGAGTAGTCGCAGCTTCAGTAGCTGCAGCACAAGGGGGCGTTAACGCAGGGGCACCGCAGCACACTGGCGACCCAGAAGGAGACACTTTCTTCACCCCGGGGATCTGACTGCAGAGGCAAGAAGCAAGGCAGGGGAGGTGCCGGGTCCTCCCACCCACTGCTCGCTGGGAAGCGCACTTCCAGCCGGCGCGGAAAGAGTCAGGCCAAGCCGGATGGAGGAGTACGGCGCCTGCCAAGGGCTAAAAAGCTCTTGGCCCAGCGGGCGGGGCCTAACTAGGGAGTGGGTGGGGCTAACTGGTTGGGATCGGAACAAGGCTCTGAGGCCGCGTGGAGGGCGGAGCGCGCTTCTCCAGAGGTGGAACGTGTATCCGAGCGCCCGCGCCTTCTGCTTTGCACCCCTTCCTTGCCGGCCGGCACTTCGGCTGCACAATTTTACCCAAGCCTCGAGTCTTAGTGAGCAGGTAACAGAGGGAGCACCTGAGGGGCTGGGAGGAAATGGAGAGGGTAAAGAGAAGTTAAAGGGGCACATGGAGAAGGTGGGGGAAGTCAAGGGTGGCGGTTCACTAAAGCGCTTCTGGATTGAGGGGCGTTGGGAGATAGCTTTACCTTTTCTTCTTCTAAACCCTTCAAAATCTTTGGAAAACCGTCCCTTCCAGATTTTACCTAGTCTCCACTTCCTGGGACTGTTTGCAGTGAGTTAGAAGGGGATTTATGCTTCCTAACTGATGGTAGATTTTCAAATCTGGTGACTATATGATTGGCTCAGGCACGAGTCATTGCCGCAGACTTGCTGCTTAAAGACCGACAATTCAGTATGTTTTCCTAACTTTTGGCACTTTACCCTGTATCGTGGGGGAGAGGATTTTTCTGATCTTCTGAAAAATGAAATTCTGTATTCTTTCCCCTACGCTCCTTTTTTTTTTTTTTTTTTTTTGGTTAGTTTCTCTGCTCTTGGAAGAGAGCAAAGAAAGTTTATAGAAAGGCTCAACTAAGTAAAGGTGGAGGCAATCGCACCTTGTGAGAGCAAGAAACGTGGATAGTGCCTGGGTGTGGCCCAGCCAGCCGCATAAATCACCCCTACTATTAACACCAGGTCCCTGTTCCCACCTAGCACCTCCCAGCTATGGAAACATCGTTAGGCTTCAAAAATTCCTATGAGAACTTGACTAACCTCCCTACTCAGCCAGGAAAAATTATAAAGATACCCATGAGATATATCCCATATTGTAATGTAAAGCAATATGGGATATATACCACAGTGGAAGTAAAAACTAGGTGTTGTAAGGATACAAATGGAAAGGATTGTTGAACAGTGGTATATGAGGACTTAAAGGACCACTGTTTGTTAGGAGAGCATGGGAAGTACAGAGCTTTCTGTAGTTTGGGTATTTTTCCTGTAGGCAGAGGGAAACTACTGTAGGAGAAATGGAGGGATATCCTTACTAGGCGGTGAGCTCAGCAATAATTCACCCAGTGTTTATTGGACTTTTGCTAGGTTCGGATTAGTGGCAGAGCATGAAAATGTGAATAAGTCTTCAAGGAGGCCTTCATAATTACAGATCCTTCTGCTTGCATCACACTTTCCCCTGGATGTCTGTCCTTTCTTAGTTGGCCTTTCCATTTCCTGTGCTAGACTATGAGCTCCATGAGAGCAGAAGCTTCGTTTTGTTCTCTACTATATTCCCAGTACGGAGAAGTGGTCTGACACAGAGGGTGCTTAATAAATACTTGATGAATGGATAATTGAAGAGCTTACTGGAAACACAGACAAGAACTGACAATTACAGCATGATTTTTAAAAGGGTAATAAAAGCAGTGTAGTACTTTGGAAACAGAGAAGGGAGAGACCTACTTCCATGTTGGGTGGAGAAAAAGTATCATTTACACAGCATCTTAAATGATGCTGGGGCTTGCTCAGGTAGATGTGGGAGGAAGGCACTCCAGGGAGAAGGAATGCTACATGCAAGAGTTGGTGTAGTAGAGTTGAGAGTGGCTAGAGTATGGCATGCAGGGGGCAAGAGGCAGAAAGTTAGACTCAAAGCTTTGTTAGTTAAGGAGAGTGACACATCAAGGTTTATGTTCTAGAAAGAAGACTGGAGAAGACTGGAGAGTGAATTGAAAGGGAGATTCTGGCATTTTCTGGGAATTTATTTTTTCTGTGTTAGAGATCCAGGTGAGAAATGGTAAAGGCCTGAACAAAGGCAGAGGTGAAGGGAGGTCAACATGTAAGAGAGGATACAGCTAACATTCTTCTGTTGATGAGGGGATTGAGGGAGATGGAGAAGAGGTCAGTATGCCTATCTGGTTCTGATTGGGGCAATTTAGGTGTCATTCGTCAGGAAGGATACTGTGACCTGGCTTTCAGTGTCTCCCCCCAGCTTCCATGCCTGCTTACATCTGTTTGTACA